AGACGCATAAGATGAGTTCGTTTGGTTTGCTATTAATGGACAAGGTCTCTTTGCCTAGTCTTAGACATGGAATTTTTTGCAGGAGAGCGGAGCTGAACGTTGTCAATTGCAAGTGGCGTCTCCTTTTTTGGGTGCTATTTCTTAATAGCCCGTATTATTTTTGTAATCGTAAATTAAGGATCCGCTGGCTCGTAGGAATTTTTATTTCTTTTTGGAATGTAGCTCGTTTGAGCAGTAGAGAGCGGGTGGAGCCTTTTAAGGATTTTGTAACCGTTTTTTTAATGAACGCGTAGGCCCCTATAGAGGGTTTTAACCAAAAAAAAAAAAAAAAAAAAAAAAACATATAACTATTTTAATATTTTTACGCTTTCATATAAATTTTATGAAAAATATATTTATTATTTTATCTTATCAGCAATAATATTATTTAAATATATTAGAAATATATTTATATCGCTTTTTAAAGTTCCTTCCGACGAAAAAACTTAGGGTATGCTGATCTAATTTTTCTCTTGTCTTATTACAACAAAGATATAATTATTTGTTGATTTACTAATCCACAACGTTTATTCCAATATTGGGCATTGGCAGAAGTTTGATTTCCATTTGGAACCAGCTTTACCTATGATTGACATGGTCGATTCTCACAATTTTCTAACTAATTTATACAATATAGAAACTGATATACAAAAAATTATATGATAATTTGCAAAACTGAACTCTTCATTATGTGAATTAAACAAATCATGGCCATTTTTGTTTTAACTTCACAATGAAAGTATTTAAAGCCTAATAAAATTTTGTTATCTTTAGATTTTATTTTTAATAAAGGGAAGAAGTAAGGAGAAAAACTCTGCAGAGGGAGGAGAAAGAGAGAGAGATTAGATATATTGTCGATGGTTTCATCATACATTTTGATCATTAGGGTTATGATGTCATGATTTTAGCTAATGATACAACAAATTATATTAGGATATCATGATGCTAGGGGTATCAAAATAGGTTTATGGGTTGAATTCGGGTTTGACCCGAATCTAGTCAACCCGAACACCACCCGTTTAATAAACGAGCTAATCAAAAACTCCAACTCGAACCCGACCTACTAACAACTCAAATGATTGTGTTGTGTGTATGAAAACTCATAGTGGTAGAGAGACATAAGGTTTAACATCCTAATTTTGTACGAAGATCTAGTGCATATAGAGATAAGAGAGAGAGAGAGAGAGAGAGAGAGAGAGAGAGAGAGATGTAAGAGTAATAAGAGACACCAAGATATTTATGTTTTGAAAAGGGGAAAACCAGGAGGTATGGTCTACTTAAATTTATTCTACTTGTGTTTGTCGTAGATTAAAAATGTTGCCAATCTTCAGCGGAAGGCTTTGACTCAATGTAACAAATATGTATCATATAGAGCACAATATATGGTGGGAGTTTGAAGAATCTAGTGATATGAGAGTTGTTCTAAAAAGAATATTTGTATGTTCGTTTGGTCGATAGGATCATAGTTGGTCGACGGATGTCGAAGGGGCCATAGTCAAAAGATTGAGGTAGAGGTCATCATAGTCGGTCGACGGATGTCAGAGGGATCACAGTTGGCGGGCAACGATCGTTGGAGGGACTGTGTGTAATAATTTGAATTTCTGAAATTATTTTTTTTAATGAAAAATCAAAATTTCATCGACGTGCCTTGCCAAAGAAGGAAGAGGAGGAAATATAAGAGAGAAAAGCTGATTTTTGTTGTGTAGTCGCTTTGCCATTTTTGTGAAACTAGGTTAGATTGTAGTTGGCGGCTCTGATCCTACTTTTATTTTTAAATATTTTGATTTCAATCATTTGATTCTCCCAACAACTGATTTTTTACTACATTTTCTCCTAATTTACTGAACTTTTATCGCATAAATTTTTAGATGATATTGTACTGATTATTTTGAAGAATTTGACTATAATATTTATGAATGTCACCAAGTAAAATAAAAGTTATTGGATTTTATATGAATTTTCAAGAATAGAAGTATTTTTATTTAAATATTGTTGCGGGCTAGAAAATACGCGGCGATAGAGATTTAATTCTACGTCTTAGCGTTGTACGGATAACTAGCTCACACACAGAGAAAGCAAGATTTTTTACGTGGAAAACCCTTAGAAAGGGAAAAAACCACGAGGCCTAGCCCAGTTGAAATGAATCCACTAGACTTTGAGTTGGTTACAAAGGACTGAATCACCTCCAAGGGTGATCAGATTACAATCAGTTACTTAAGTAAGACGTCGGGTCTTCGGCAGGATGTAGGGACTGAACGTCGGGCTTTGAGCAGGACATCGGGTCTTCGGCAGGACGTAGGGACTGAGTGTCGGGCCTTGAACAGGACGTCGGGTCTTCAATAGGACGTAGAGACTGAGTGTCGGGCCTTGAATAGGACGTCGGGTCTTCAGTAGGACGTAGAGACTGAGTGTCGGACCTTGAACAGGACGTCGGGTCTTCAGTAGGACGTAGAGACTGAGTGTCGGACCTTTCCTGCGGTGGTCCGGCGGCTGTCGAGGAGGAGCTTCTTCCTTCTCTTCTCTTCTTCTCTCTCTTGCTTCTTCCCTCACTTGTGAAGAATGAGGGTTCTATTTATAGATTTTCTGGAGTGGCATTGCCCGTAAATAGGCGTGAGATCAGGGGCGAATAGGGAGTGGTCAAATGGACGGCCGATGTTGAATCCTACGACCGTGCACCGTTCGTTGGCCATTTGGAGGCCTAATTATATCTTATACATTTATGTTCGTCAAATTCAAGAGGTTTGAAAATTTTTTTAATATTAATATTCATGTTTCATTAAAATTTAAGATATGAATTGAAATAATAATAATAATCACAATCATATGCAAATTGAGGGCCTAAGAGCATCTCCAACCGAGCGCTTAACTCATGTATTCAGTCAGCCCGCTCCTCCAAATCCCCAATTTAAATCAGAAAATTGGGTATAAGATTTTAATTCTTTATTAATTTTTTAATGTAGCTTCTTTACTATTAATTTTTAAAATTAATATAATTTATAAATGAATTATTTCAATATATTTTTATATAACTAATTTGTTTAAATTTTGTTATTCATTTTAAATAATGTGAAATTAAATAAATATAATTTGGATACAACATTAACATATTGAATAATACAATACTTCTACAAAATAAAAAACTGAAAATAGAAATGCATAGGAAGTTGCATGTGTATTTTTTTCATTAGTATTTATGTGTTCTAATGCAATTTTTATTTTATTTAATAAATATTTAATTTATTAAGTGCATATTTATATTCCAAATTAATTTATCCAATAAATTTTTTTTTTTGTTAAAAATTATAGATAGGTATAATTCAAAAAAATTGATAAATATAAATACATGATTAAAAATTCATATAAAAATATACGAGATAGAATATACATATAATATTATTTTTTATGATGATTGATATTTTCGACAAGTTTTACGCTGGTTGTCAACTGCCTAACGCAATTCTCAACTTTTCTCATCCAGGACTTGGGACCTGGCAATGACAATGTTATATAATATTCTTTTTTACGTTAAAAAAAAATCCTACTCCGCCACTAATAATAATAATAATTACTATAAGACAATTTGCACTTAACAAATATGAGAAATTATTATGTGCGGACGTCTTACTATCCAGAGACCAATCAAAATGCACCATGACAATAATAACGAACTGGATACCGAGTGGCACCGAGCTGCAATATCGAATAGTATCGAACTGAGTACCGAGAAAAGAGTAATGTGACACATTATAATTGATCTTGCCGTGCACAAAATAATTTATCCAAGACATAGATAGAAATTGCATTATGATTGATCTCGCGGCGCACAAAATAATTTATCTAGAAATTGCACTGTTTGACTATTTGCATTCCGTGCAGGAAAGCAATTATTTAGTCAATACGGATGGCAGTTTCTTGCAAGCCTCACAAGAGTTGTTCATAAATTTACAGTGATTGAAAGTGTCAATCTTCTCTTGTTAAAAGTATACATGCAGACGAAGGTTATATCAATGTTTTATTTATTATGGCTTTTTTTATAAGTAATGCAATAATAATAGAATTCCTGTATTTAAAAAAAGGGGAAAAGTTGAATTTGCCTCTTTACCCTTTCCCATCTTCATTGACACAAAGCAAAAGAGATTCATCATACTAAAAACTGTTTGATTTGCTGAACGAAAAAGAATAAAAAGTATTTAATGATTTAAAATATTAAAATTTTTTGAATGATTGTAAAAAAAAGTAGGGTGTTATTTTTTATTTAATCTAAAAAAATAATATAATATGAAATCTAATAATAATGATGATTAAAAAGGTCAACTACCTAAAAAATGAACTAAAGTGCAAAAATCTTATTCAATAAAATTTTATATTGTATTACTTTCATTAAATCAAATATCAAAACTTTAAAATCCCTGCATTTAAGATTTTTTTTTTTTGACAAATCAAAGAACCCTTGTATTTTAAAGAGTATTCTAATCCCGCCTAACATTACTATTTTCTGGTCAGATTGCTTACACGATATTATATGAACATTTCTGTTAAAAGATCACATTAAGTAAACTGTAGAATTAAAAATTGAAATCCAAAATAATGCATTTATTTTATTAATAAAATTGACTTTTTATAAAACATGTGTATTTTATCAATATTTATTAAATACAAAAAAATAAAAATAAAAAAGAGAATATAAATTTCTGATTTGATTTTTATCAAAATAATCTCAAAAAATAAATTTCTCAATCTTTTGTAATATTATTCTGTTAATATTAGTATTAAAATTTATGATTTTATGTTATTTAAATATATTAGAAATAATATTTATTAACTTTAAAATTTATCGTTATTAAAATTAAATCAGGCTATTTGACTTTTTTTTTTCTAAGAAAATTAGTAGCCAATATACATCTTTCATGTAACTAAAAAATTCAACAAAATTCACACATTAAAATGTAAAATGAAATTCTTTTTACGGTTTCACGGGTCGAACACTGCCCAATTCAGCTTAAGCCGGTAAGATATATTTCCCGGGATTTCGATCTCCTCTCTCTCCTCCCTGAGGAGCCTCGCCCTACTCTTTTTTCCCCTCAGCGTTGTACCAAACCCATTTTTCAATCCTTCTCTCATCCATGGAGATTTCACTGAAATCCCAGTCGTCACGGGGACATCGTCCTTCTCTTGACCAGAAGAGCACATAATCTACTATTGCGATTCCAATGGCATTCCGACGCTTCCTTTTGCTTCTCTTTTTCTTCATATCGGCGGCCGGCGAGCCGACGAGCGACCGCGCCGCCCTTCTTGCTTTCATTTCTCAAACCCCGCACTCTCCACGCATACAATGGAAAGCCTCAGCATCAGCCTGCGATTGGGTTGGTGTTAGTTGCGACGCGAACCGCACTGCTGTTGTCGCCCTCCGCCTCCCCGCCGCGGGTCTCATCGGTCCCATCCCACCAGGAACCCTTGGCCGCCTCTCATCCCTTCGAATCCTCTCCCTCCGATCCAACCGCCTCTCCGGTTCTCCACCTCAGGATCTGTCCAATCTCACCGTACTCCACAGTCTCTACCTGCAGAATAATCTCTTCTCCGGCGCGTTCCCGCCGGCAATCCCCAAACTAACACGGCTCACTAGGTTAGATCTCTCTGCTAACAACTTCTCCAGCGAGATCCCCTTCGCTGTCAACAACTTGACCCGCCTTACCGGCCTTTTCCTCCAGCAGAATAGATTCTCCGGCAGCCTACCCAGCGTCGGCATCCCGGGGCTCACAAGCTTCAATGTCTCCTACAATGACCTAAATGGTTCTATTCCGGCCACGTTAGCGAAATTCCCTGCATCCGACTTCGTAGGAAATCTACAGCTCTGCGGTGGGCCTCTCGCCCCCTGCGCCCCTTTTTTTCCCTCACCAACTCCGTCCCCGATCCCCCCACCGGAATCTCCAACCGGGAAAAGCTCCAAGAATCTCTCCACGAAGGCGATAATCGGCATCGCGGTCGCCGGCGGTGTAGTGCTGCTGCTTCTGTTGCTTCTGCTTCTCTTCTGCTGCTTGTCTGCAAGGCGAAAGCAGAGCCAGAGGGCTAAAGGGGGAACGAAGCCGGTGGAAGCGGCTGCAGGGCCGATAGGGAGATCGGCCGATGTCGGAACGACTTCATCGTCGAAGGAAGACATTGCTGCGGCAACTGCCAGCCAAGGGGATAGGAATCGCTTGGTATTCGTGGGTAGCGGTGGTGGCTATAGCTTTGATCTGGAGGATCTTCTCAGAGCGTCGGCTGAAGTTTTGGGAAAGGGAAGCGTCGGTACTTCGTATAAAGCGGTGTTGGAAGAAGGCACCACTGTTGTTGTAAAGCGCCTCAAAGACGTCGCCGTCTCCAAGCGCGATTTCGAGCTCAACATTGAGGCTCTTGGCAAAATCGAGCACGGAAATCTACTGGCAATTAGGGCGTACTACTATTCCAAGGACGAGAAACTCCTCGTTTTCGACTACCTCGCCGCCGGCAGCCTCTCGTCCAACCTCCACGGTATGATCACCGCCCTTTTTGTTTTTCAAATTTCCAGAAAATATAGATATTTCTTGCGTTTTTTGAAATGTAGAGGAGCGGTGTGCAAAAATGCCTTTTTTTATCTGTCTTTCGCTTTACGAGGGCCTCCATGATGCAATCCACATTCCCTTTGCTCGACGCATGACTCGGAACAGCCTGCCCCGACAGCCTTGGTCCCCACGTTGAACCTTTGAACGTGTTTTTTTGCTATATTATCCAGGTTAATTGCGAAATTTGCACATTGTAGTGTACAATTTCTAGCTTCGGCATCAAGTTTTCGACAATTACCTCCATTTCGACCTTTTGCCATTTCGACACTACACCTTTTTTCAAAATCCATTGAGTAATACTTGTATACTCCAATCATAAATTCATACTTTAAATTGGAATTTTTAAATTTTAAATTTTCTCTTCGAATCTTATATCTATGTCGGCTTTGGATGAAGAAAAAAAATATTTTCAAACTAATTTAAAGTATAATTTGTCTGGAGAGGGTTATTGTTATAAGATAAATGCGTTTAAAGCAACACTTTTTTCAAAATGACATCAAAATTATCAATGTATAGATAATCCGAAATTACTTGAATGTCCCAAGCAATCGAACCATTTGCCCTTCTCCTCCGTAGGTTTTCGTGTTTATGCTTGGAAAATTCCACGGCAAATTTTATTACGGATTCTTTGTATTGGTATAAACACGCTTTTCCCGTAGAATGTAGATCCATTCATCAATGTATTTGCCCTCGGAAAGCGAAAGAAATTTGACGTCTTTTTGCGCTTGTTCGTTAATCGTGTAATAAGTACATTTGTCTTATTGATGCGCGACACAACGCGCTACAGGGAGCCGGGGTTCTGGCAGGACGCCGCTGGACTGGGATAATCGGATGCGCATAGCCCTCGCCGCGGGCCGCGGCCTCGCCCACCTCCACGGTCCCGCCCGGGTGGTCCATGGCAATATCAAGGCTTCAAACGTCCTCCTTCGACCCGACCCGGACGCCGCGGCCCTGTCAGACTATGGCCTTGCCCCGATTTTCGGGCCTAGTGGGTCGACGGTGAGTCGCGCGGCGGTGGGTTACCGGGCCCCGGAGGTGGTGGAGACACGGCGCGCGACGTTCAAATCTGACGTTTACAGCTTCGGCGTGCTGCTTCTGGAGCTTCTCACGGGTAAGGCGCCGAACCAGGCGTCGATCGCTGGCGAGGAGGGGGTTGATTTGCCGCGGTGGGTGCAGTCCGTGGTGAGGGAGGAGTGGACGGCGGAGGTGTTCGATGTGGAGCTCATGAGGTACGCTAATATCGAGGAGGAGATGGTGCAGCTCCTTCAGATCGCAATGGCTTGCGTTGCGCTGGTGCCGGACTCTCGGCCGGATATGGCCGAGGTAGTCAGAATGATGGAAGATATCGCCGGCGGCCGTATAGGAACGTCGGAGGGCGACGATGGGCTGCGTGCCTCGTCTGATGAGCCTTCCAAGCCGGCTTCAGGCGGCCGCTCGCCGCGTGTGGCATCAACACCATGATAGTTCCAGGCGCGCCCAGTCTTTGTATGTTATTGTTTTTTCTTTGTTCATTCAATGAAGATAGGAAATTGTGTTTATTATTTTTTCGAAAAAAAAAATTTGGAAATTGAGTGTTTGAATACGAATTTCATCTAGGACCTGTCAATAACTTTCAACTTGTTTAGACTTTTTGTCAATTAAGCTTTAATCCCATTAAGCTTGCTTGTTCCATAAATTGTGTCTATTTTGCTTCAACTAACTTCTCATTTTTTCAAATTAGGTATTTTTCGAATGTGAACGAAAGTTTTTTGTATTTGATATCTAATTAAAAATTAGTCAGCATAAGCTCCCAAACTGTAATTTCTTTCTCATATTAATAGAAATTTTAAGTTATGCTCTCGCTTTACCATATAGAAAATTATTGATTAGTGATATATATATTGTGTACTAATTTTAAATAGATTGGATGATTTAAAAAAATTGTGTTTTATTGTGGAGGCGAGGCTAGTGAGATTTAGATTTTGTTCAGGACGGTTTTCTTTCTGCTTCTTAAATCAGTTTTTTAATACAAAAATTTTAATTTTTATGCTAAGAAGTTTCTTTAAGAATCAATAAAACGGCTTTCTTGTTGCTTCTTAAAAAAACTTTTTAATACAAAAATAGACTTCGTGTGGGGCAGCTTTCTGATTGTTTTATAAAGTAATTTTTTAGTACAAAAATTTTATGCACTCTAAATTTTGATAATAGAAAACTGTTTTAGAAAGTAATAAGAAATTCCTACAAAATGAAATCTTAAGATTTGTTTGAAATGACTTTCTTACTATTTTTTAAAACATATTTTTAATATAAAAAAATTAAGACTTAGTTTGAAAAGATCTTTATTACTGCTTTAAGAAGCAGTAAGAAAGACCTCCCCAAACTAAAGTTTATATTTTATGTTAGTTCATATTTACTTCTCTGTTTTGACATTTTGTATGGCGCCGCATGTCCTATATAAGTTCCTATCATGGCTTACGAGCTTAGAACCAGTAAAACTGCTGCCAGGCCGGCGATTAATGGCCCTCACTGTCGATCGAGCGCTTGACGCAGCTATTATCATTTTATTAGAAGGATTAGAAAGCTCCATCGTATTGGAAGACGAAAGGTCTTTTTTTTCCGTCTTGAGCAATCTTTTTAGATTCGTCAAGTTTATATAATTTAAATAGACATATTAAAATTTTAAAAAATAATTATTAAATTGTATTAAAAATATCTCAGCATTTTTTTTCTAAATATGTGTAATTTCCCGATGAGGAGGGAGAGAGAATGGAGAGTTGGTGGCGTACAGGCTGGCCGAGGAGGGAAGGGTATATGTTGTCAGATTGTCAGATCGGAGAGAGGGGATTGGGTTTGACGGTATCGCCGCGGTCTCACGCGAAGCGCAGCCCTACAAATGGACACGCTGTGTCTGCACGTGGACCCTTTCTTTCCAACTGTCCTTCGCTCTCTTTTCACTTTCCCAGCCTTTCTATTTTTTTAAGTAGAAAATACTCTACTTAGACCAACACCCATATCAATTTATACGGACCAACGCTTACGACTTTTACTATTTGTTATAGGATTCGAATCAGGGACCTAGACTTTGCCTAGCCGGTTCTTCACCACCCGATAATAATTATTGGGTCCGGACACCTAACATAGCTTTACATCCGGACATCAATAACATGTCGCCATGTGCTCTTACTCTTTACCGCGCGGCCCGACGATCTGGACCCGATATTGCTATGTATTGGTTGATTTGTGCAGATCGGGATATTGCTCGGTATTAGTCCACAATAATGAGAAATATCAATCTGTTAAGAGCAATACCTAGCAATACCCGAGCATAGCAATACCGGGTTCCAGTCTGGATCGGTTTGTCGGGCCGCGTGGTAAAGAGTAAAGGCACGTGGTGACATGTTATTGGCGTCCGGATATAGAGCTATGCCAGATGTCCGGACCTAATAATTATTCCACCACCCGAACAAACAACGATGGATTTTCCAGCCTGTGCGGCCTTAGTTGGGGTACATGGCTTGCTGTATACGCTCGCTTCTCATTGTTTCAGTCTGATTGAAAACTCTATTTAGTTTAATTGACATCTTTAAAATACTTTTAGTTTGATTTTTGGATTTTTTATAAACTTTTCTTTGAATATTTTACAGATAATATTTTAATATAATGGGTTTGTTTCTGTGATTTTGGGTTTTTTTTATTACAATTAAGTTGTTTTTTTTTATTATTTTAGTAATCATGACTTACTTTTGGTATTTTTATGGATCGAAAACAGTTAAAATTGGTGGTTATTGGCTAATATTGAAATGGCCGATACTGAAATGATTGAAGAAATCATTATTAATAGAAACTTAAGGTTGTGTTTGGTTTAAATCAACTAAGATATTCTTTGGAACTGTTTTTTTTTTTTTTTTTTTTTTTTTTTTTTTCAAAAATATTTAAAATTTTTTTTATATAAAAATTTTTTTTTGTTCTTTTTTTTTTTTTTTTTTTTTTTTTTTCATTTCTAAACTAATTTAAAAATTTTTTATACTAAAAATCTGTTTTAAAAAGTTATAATAAAGATGTCTCAAATAAAGCTTAAAATAGAGAACATGAAAAGTGGTAATGGGAATGAAAAAGGAATTTAGTTAAAATTAGGTTTCTCCATTTAGTTTGGTTGAGGGGAAATTGAGTGAAGTTTTTTAATTTATTATTTAATTGATAGAAATTTAAATTTTTATTCTTTTTTTTAATTTAAATTTTTATTCCTTACAAGATTGTGGCAAAATTAGGGTTTAAAGATAAGGGTGGTAAATTGAAAATAAATTAAAATTAGAAGTTTAACATTTTGAATTAACATATATATGCATAGTTGCATACAACAAAATTTGTAAATAAGAATAACTTATAAAAAAAAATTATCTCTTTTAATCTATCTATTATAGTTAAATTTCTTATATTTCGTCGAATATTCCTTCAGTGCATTAAAATCATCAATAATTACTTATATCTCAAAATTCTTTGTTAAATACTTGGTAATAGATGTCATTTGTAAAATTGCAAGAAAAATTATCTTCCTCATATTTTGTTATCTTATATAGACATTCTTCATTATGATAATTTCGTTATGTTCTAAAACAATTCATTTTTGTTCAATAGTATATTCAGCTGCGTACTATTGTAGCATTTTGTGATATTTTGAAATGAGTTTATTTATATTTCAATTACTACATGAAATGAATTATGTGTTTAATTTGAAATATGTTATTTTGAGGAGTTTTGGGGTGAATGGAGGAAGTTTTATTCTGATGTAATATGCACATTCTATTATCATAATTTTATTAATTCTATTTGTTAGAAGGCACAAGGATCAAAATTCTCTAAATTCTATCTGTTGAGAATTATAAGAGTTAGAATCGAATTTTGTCTGTTGGGAGTTATAAATGCCATAATTTTTTGAATTTTGTCTGATATGAAATGAGTGTTTATTTATTTTCTCAACATTGTTATTCAATTTTTTTATAACTATAATTATTTTTGTGCTCAGCATAATGATTTATTTTATTGCTTTTATCACTCATTTAAATGATTAACAATGGATTAATTAGAATTTTATAATGATAAATATGGTATGCTGAGCTATGTTAACTCACAGTTGTTTCACTTTCTATTTTAAGGATCTAATTGAGGGAATGGGCCAGTTGAGTATCCTTATCAAGATCTGATTTGAGTCTGTATATGTATTTCCTTCTCTGAATTTTCGTACAGTCATAATTAGTTTTTATTACTCTGGTCTGTATCTCAGTCTATAACCATGCATGTGTTGTAGTTGTATATATTTTTTGGTGATAAGTGAAAGTAAAATTTTATAGATGAATTTATTTTTAGTATAATAGATGTTGTTAGTAGTTGTGTTTATTATTGTTTAAAAGGTTAAATTTTAGATGAAAATTCTGAATAATTTTTAAAACTTAGATAATGAGATTCGTCTGTTGCAAACCAACACGATATGATATGTTCAGTCTGTGAATCTTATTAAATTGGGTTGTAACACTTGCATTTTTAAGATGAATAATATTGAATAACTAATATTTTATAAATTCATCTTTATCAATAAATTTTAATACAACTATCATCATTTTCTCTCATTTTGATTCACCTCAAGCATCATCAACTACAATATAATTGTTCTCATCATTAATCTCATATAGTTTAAATTTTTGAATTTTGCACGACAAAAAATATCAAATCCTTTTTAAATTGTTAGGAGATGTATATAAAATATTTTGGGTAGCATTTTGTAACATATAAATAAGATTGGTAATTTATAATATGATGATTATATCTAAATAAAACTATTATCATTAATACAAAATTCAAATAATATATATAAATATAATGAGTCAACATGTGCCTCATGATTTATTTATGTTTTTATCTAAAATTTGGTATGGAATTGGCAATAGAAATTTATTTGTTTTATAATGTTTAGGTAATTCTAACAGCTTATTGAAAAAAAAAAACACCAATATAAATCTATAAAATAAAACATTTGTGATATACATCAAATTCCTTCATACCAATCATAGCCTAAATGATTTTAATTATTTTTAATTGTCATGGCAGTTGTAATAAGTCCAATTATCAAATTCAATTATTTAATTTGTTTTGTACCCTTTGAACAATTCACAGATGTTAATGGCATATTTTGCTTTGTGCTCACCAAGCTAGAATTTGCTCATGTTCAAGAAAAAATTAGAAAATTGTTTGAAATTTAGCTTATTTCATGATCAATCATAAGTGATGTGTATTTCTATGATAGAGGATAGTGTTAGGAATTAAACCATGCAACGAAACAAAAAAAAAGGAAAGATATTGGAAATGAACACCAAAATTTTACGTGAAAAACACGAAACTAGGAAAAATCACGGAGCCACTCCACCCCAAGAAATTCACCAAAAAGATAGATATGTCATTAAATACACCAAATGATACAACCCTTCAAGTGAAACAATAAAAAAAATAAAAAAAAGAGAAGAAAAATTACTCAACATGATTAGTAGCATAGCGCTACTGAGGTTTGGAGTGCTGCAATGCTCCGCTCTCTGTCTCCAACCCAAGCTTAGAGCACTGTTATATTTCAGGATACAGTGTTGCAGTGTTTATAACTTTGTATGAGAAAAAAAAAATTTGGGTGTTTCCCCTACAACCGCTC